AAAGATTTAACATAAAACACAACCGATACCAACTCAAACCCACACACCCGAGAGCGCGCCAAACGCGCATCAACAAACCATGGTGATCACTCCATCTTTACTCAGTGAAAAACTTACACCTCTAATCCCATGGTAATACCATAACACAATCTTATTATCACTCGTGAATGTCGCTTGGGTTGTTTCCAACATCTTTGCAAATTGTGAATTGTGCTTTTATAAAACATCAAGTGCAAGGTGTCTTTTTAAAGAGTGTCTTTTGTTCATTTTGGTGATGCCCAGTAAATGGGATTGCTGGATCAAATGGCTAGAATCTACTTGTATCTCTTTAAGGTACTCCATATTGCTTCCACAGAGGTTGAACTAGTTTCGGTCAGCGCTGCTGTGTTCTATCTCTTCACATCCACGCCAAACCTTTTTCTTCTTTTTGATAAATGCCATTCCACTGAAATAAGTGATATCTCATTGTGTTTTGATTGCACTTCCCTGCATGATTAGAGATGTGAGCTTTTTTCAAATGTTTGCTGCCTGTATTCCTGCTCTTTCGCCGCAAGTTTCTGTTCATGTCCTTCTGCCACCTTTCATAGGGTTGTTTGATTTTCCTTGCTGATTTTTCTGAGTTCTAAAACGATTCTAGTTATCGGCCTATCAGTGTGTTAGCTTGTGAAAATTTTCTGCCATCTGTGGGGTATCCGGGTGTTTGTTCTTATGACAGTTTCTTTGGCTGTACAGAAACCTTTAATCTTGATCAGGTCCCATTTATTTATTTTTGTTGATTCCTGTGATTGCCCTTTGTGGTCTTCTTCATAAATTTTTTGCCTAGGCAAATGTCTAGAAGAGTATTTCCAATGTTTTCCTCTAAGCATTCTAATAGTTACACCCTTAGGTGTAAGTCTGTTACCCAGTGTGAGTTGATTATTTGTGAGAGGTGAAAGGTGTGGATCCTGCTTCAGCTCTTCTACATGTGGCTATCCAGTCTTGCCCAGACACACATTTAGTTGAAATATAGAATCTTTTCTCCAGTGTATGTTTTGTCCTGCTTTGTCAAAGATGTTGGCTATATGAGGATGGTTTTCTATCTGGTTCATGTGTTCTTGTTCCATCTGGTCATGTCCCTCGTTCTTGTGCCAGTCCCAAGCTGGCTTGTTAATTACTATGCCTTGTGGTTACGTTTGAAGTCTGGTAAAGATTGATACCTCCCATTTGGTTATTTATTGCCTAGGGATTGCTTTGCTACTACGGGGTTCTCTGGTTCCAATATGAGTGATAAAATTATTTTTCTATAATCTGTGAAAAATGATGATGATATTTTAAGTAGGGATGCATGACTCTTGTTAGTCTTGGGTATACAGAATTTCCACAATGTTATTCTGCCGACACGGCATCGTGTTGGTCCTTCCACCTGTTTACATCCTCTGCTATTCTTCTCCAAATCAAGATTTTTTTTAAAAAGTATATTTTATGTGAACAACCAACTCTGCACTGGTCCTGGATAGACAGGCTCACTGTGTAACTGAGAGAACCCTCCCGGGCCGGCGTCTGCTCTGAATCTCAGGAGGTGGGACCTGGCCCGACTTCTGGAATCAGGAAGCCGGCCCCAGTGCAGCCCCGTCCCCTGGCGATTCCCGCTCTGACCCTGACGTCCCCCGCAATCGCGTTGTCTCCAACAGCGCGTTGGACTGGAGTTTTTCTCGGTGGGAGAAGATTACTTCCCTGGTGGTATTGCGAACTCTTCGACGGAAACCACCATTCTTGTGAACAGTATTATTTACAGGTAAAGGGCGCCGGGGGCCCGCTCCTCTTAGCCCGTGGGCCCTTTGGGGGTCCTCCCTCGCAGGTGACCACATGGCACCGCGTGGTTGCAGGCCGTGGGCCAAGGTAGATTCTCGAGGCACGCCCCCGGCGAAGCACTGGAGTCCCAGCGCTGACTCTCCGCGACCCGGTCCTGAGCGCGGGCGTAGTTACTGAACAGTGACTCAGAGTGTACTGACGCTTAATTTTGCTCTAGAGACGCTACGGCATTCTTGCGCAATTTATTTCTATCGTTCAGTGCTACAGCGAGTAGCGGTGTTAAGTGTTTCATTTGCAGTGGCTGTAGCACGGACATCAGTTCCTGTAGGTGCGGCACCGGAACAAAACCATCTCATCAATTCAGTCGTTTTTCTTGGAAAGTCTCCCGGGATTTGAGCATAATCACGTCTGAGCACGAAAGGCACTCATGCCCTTCATGTCCATGTTCTCACTGCTCATGTAGTTTGCTTGACTGTCTACGAAACCCGGAACAGTCTTGGACGGCACGGGGACGGCGCCGCTCGCAGCGGCTGAGGTCTAACGGATCCGAGCCTCACTGTAGACAGGACCCGCGTAAGCCGTGGCCACCTGCCAGGTCACGGTCTCCGCCGGCATCCCGCTGGCACGCGTGTGGCCTTCCAGGCTCTGTCCATGTGAACGACTTACGATGAGAGATTTCCTTGCGCTCCTGGAACCGATGCCGCTCGTGACAGTGTGCAATGTTTTAACATGCACTGGCTCCATGCCGTGACCTTGAACGTTTGCACCTCCATAAACAGGAAGACCTTGCTCCACGGTTTCCGTTCTTTACCTTATCAGTGGTGAGATGAGACTGACTTGATTAACCCTTTGGACTCGCTTGCTTTTTCTCTTGCTGCTACCGATCTGAACCGTGTCTGGGTCACACTCACATTGATGCAGGGGTTAATGCCCACCGCAGATCTCCTAACCCGCACCTGTGGACTGGAACAGGCTGATAACAGGCCTCTCTCGACTCCTCTTTTTTTTGATGACGTATGTTAAATTCAATTATAAAACCATCTGGAGCCAGGGGGTGGTGGCTTCACGCTTGTAATCCTAGCACGTGCTGGAGGCTGAGGCGCGTGGATTGCCTCGAGGTCAGGAAGTGTTTAAACCAGCTGAGCAAGAGCGAGACCGCCTCTCTACATAAAAGAAATAAATTAATTGGCTACTAATATATACTAAAAAAAAATTAAGCCAGGCATGGTGGCACGTGCCTGTATCCCAGCTACTCGGGAGGCAGAGCAGCAATCCTTGAGCCAGAATATGAGGTTGCTGTAGCTAGCTGATGCCACCGGCACTCACGTCTACACCTGGGCAACAAAAGTGAATCTGTCTCAAAAAAAAAAAAAAACCATCTTGGGCTGGTACCTTTTTATTTCTCTTTTATTTTATTTTTATTTTTATATACGTTTTCAAGACAGAATCTCACTCTGTCGCCCTGGCTGGAGTGCAAGTGGCATCATCACAGCCATGTGTACCTCAAAGAACTCTGGCCTCAAGCGATCCTCCCCGCTCGGCCTCGCCCCGCAATGCTGGGACCACAGGTGCCACCCCCCCCATGCCCACCGGGCAGGCCAGCATCCCTGAGCAGTGGTGCCAGTCTTGCGTGGTTACTGGGAGATGCAGGTTTCCAATCTCTTTTGGGCCAGTTTTGTCATCTGAATTTTACTAAGAAAGATCATCGATTTTCTTTTAGACTGGAAATTCATATGCTGTAGACTTCTCGACCTTGGCTAAAATAATTTTAAAATGCACCGTGAAAGGATAAATGTTCAAAGATGGCTCAAGACGTTTTTTGAAAAGGAGGCCTGGGAAGGAGGGCCCGGCCAGCCATGTGATAGGGGGCATGATTTTCAGCCAGAAATGTGCAGATTATGGAGGTGGCATTGAAACGGTCTGGTGCTTGTCCCGGCAGGTGCAGGGCTACGAGGGCTTCGGGCGTGCACAGCCTGCCCACCTTCGGACTGCAGGGACTGGAGGCCTTCAACACCCCGGCACGGCTCCACCTACTCATCTACTCCAGCGACAAGGACCCCTGTCCCGGGTGCTGCGGCTGAAGACCGCGCTGAGCGGGCCCCGGGCTGCCGGGACGGGCGCAAGCCGGCAGACCCCAGAGCTCTACTCGGCGGCCTGGGGACTCCGGCGGCTGAGCCTCGGGGCAGCCGTGAGCAGCAGGCAGCAGCGGGGTCCACGCAGGGC